CGGCTGTAATCGGCGTCACCCGGAGAGGTTGAACCGCCTCCGCCGCCGGCGGAGAGTAAACCACGATCTCGCCGGTCTCCTCCGCCGTCAGTCTCTCACCCTCGCCGGAAAATGTTGTGGGGTTCGAAAGGTTCGACATATCGAAAAAAGGAAAAAGAAAGGGAAGAAAGAACAAGAATTACCGGAGAAAAAACCTTGGATGCCGACTTGCAGAAAGCTCCACGAAGATCTGAAAATTCCCTTGCTGTTTTGCTCTGAAAATCGCTCGAAATCGCAGAGAATGTAAAGCTTCTCAAAGAAGACGATGGTGGGTATATATATGAACTTCTGTCCAATCGGGAAAGGCCGCGTGGCATCGTTTGAAATTCGAAAAAAAAATTAAATAAATAATGGGCCAGATCGAACGGTCGCGATTGAAGCCATCCGACGGTTAACAAGGGGGCGCGTAGAGGCCACGCAGCAGTGTAACCGCCCTTTCCACTGAAGTAACGCGACGCGCCACGCGGGCCAACCAGGCGAGAACACGTGTAAAGAACCCTGGAACGGCACGACTTTTCATGGCCGACAAGAAGGGGAACGGCCATATCGCATTGATGGACGCGTCGTTTCAGCTCGCGTCATTAATGTACCCGAAACAGGAAAAGTTTGATTCAAAGGGAATTGGAAACGCCGGTATGAGAACTGACGAATTCGGGACTGAGCATTGGAGTGACGGCCTCGAGTTAGATGAAAAGGCCTCTAACCCGAGCCCGGGGGCCTGTATGTTGACAACCGATTTAGTCCGGACCGGATCGGATACTCAGTCCCTCCGGATCGAGACAAGAACCCGGCCTGATGTGAGAGTGCCGAGCTGGACCACGGGCTAGAGGGGCGGAAAACCGCCCTGAGAACAGATTCTCAGCCCGGCGACCGACTCAGACCGGGGAGCTGCCGACCTGGATGGGTGCCGGACAGGAAGGTGACTATTCGTAGTCTAAAGAACATCTACGAACGAAGTGCCGACCTGAAAGTATGAGGAGGCCGACCAGGGACGACGCATGGGCCTCAATGAACATTAAAATATTCCCACTTGGGAGGTCATCATTGGACGATGGGACAGGTAATCATGGGCCTAGCCCCCTACCAGTCAGCCTAAGTCAGCAAAGCCATCCAGCATTAAATGCCCCTCATGCTGGCATTTAATGCCCGTCAGGCAATGATTGAATAAACCTCAAATCGCATTAAATAACCGTCAGACGGACGCCGAACTGCCCTGCCAAATTACTGTGCGACAAGACCGGTGAACAGTGGCTGAATAGTGACACATTAAAGACCACTATAAATAGAAGCTCACCTCATTTATTTTGGGTTGTTGAATCCCAACTAACTATGCCTTCTCTCTATTTTCTCACTCTAAGAATTGTAAGAAACTCACTGTAAGAATTGTAAGTATATCGCAAGTGCCGACCTCGTGCGAGAGGCCGACCTCGTGATCGTCTAATAAAATCATAATTAAACTGGAGCATTCTCCCCTTTTTCAGTCCTGCCGACCTCGTGATCGTCTAATAAAATCATAATTAAACTGGAGCATTCTCCCCTTTTTCAGTCCTACTTTCAATATTCTTTATTTCTAACCGTTGACCGAAAACGCTCGTCAACAGTTTGGCGCTAGAGGAAGGGCACCATA